GGGGGGGGGGTTGTCTGCTTCAGAGAAATGTGCCTTTATTTGGTGGGTAGCGTCCTTCGCCTTCAACTTGTTTGCCCAGCAAACGATTCACGTAAAGGCGGTGTTCGGAGAAACCACTGTGTTACGTGGACTAGCGTACACGAGGGAACAGCTTAGCAGTGGGGAATGGATAGGGTTTTCTAGACCATGTACTGTCATGGCCGCGGCTCTTTTCTCTCTCTAAACTTTTAAAACTTCTCTGTGCTGGTGTTCACCACGGAAGTGCAAAAGAAGGGTAAAACACAAGTCTCGCTACAATCAAGTGCGCGCACAGCCTTTCCCTCCGAGACATTCATCTTGTTCGAAACAGAGTCAAATGGGGCGGTCCATGGTGAACCAGAATAACGTCCAGGTGTACCGTTTTGGATATTGTGTAAAAAGTATATGCGCACGGAATACGTTGGCTTGTACTTACACTGGCGATGTGTCTAAATACTCTGTCTTTACGCTCCCTTCCATCGGAGGCCTATCGGCGAGCAGCCAGACTATAGGTGTCAAGATGGAGCGGAGATGCACCATCCACTGTAACAAAATTCCTAACACAACCCTTGCGAGTGGATCAAGGACAACCCTGTCCTCGTTCATGATGTAGCTAAGTGTATAGAGAGCATAAGGCAATGTCAAAATAGCGTGTACGAAAGCAACTACAACCAGGGTAGTTTGCTCATTACTGACTGCTGCTTGCACGTCTTGTTGATCTGAGGCTGGCTGCGTCGCGCTCACTGGTGTTAGGGCCACAGCTTGTGTAGGGGGCATCGTTTGTGGAAGGTAAGCGGCCTGTTTGAAAGTGGAGTCCTCTTCGGATTGACCATTTGCATCAGTAGATGACAGTGGGTACACTTGGGCATTTAACATCGTTGTTATCTCACTAAGAAAGGTGCCTTCAGGAGAGGGAGTGTCATAACCATCAGCGATTGCCTCGATTTTCATTCTGTTGGTTATAAGAGCAAAGATAACAGCCAGGACGGATGGAAGAACCATGCTAATGACAACCACAGCTCGAAGGCGGCCAATTGTCATAGAGTCGTCATAACGACAAGTCTGTGTATCAAACCCAGCTAAAGTTAAGGGCAAAATCAGGATTAGTCCGACAATCCAAGGCACTGCTGCCACCAATATGGAAGCTAAACAAGGATTGGAAATTGTAGAGCGAAGTTTTCTCCGAAAACAGAGTTCCCCACAGAGCACAAGTAAACCAACTCCATACACAAACGGAAGGTAGTTATTCCAGTACACCATGGAAACAAATTCTGTTTCACAGTTTAGTCTGAAGTGTTTTTCAAAAATCTTACGAGCAAATATGATCAAGGAATACAATGCCAGGAGTATGTCACCTCCCGCAAGAGTAAAAATTAGGAATTTCCGCGTATTCATAAGTGGGCATCCTCTACGGAGAATTATGTATAGCAAAGCAAAATTACCAACAAGAATTCCTATTATAAAAATAACCGACAATGCCATGAGGGCTGTTCGCTGGGCTTCAGGATCGACTGTGCCGGCCATAATGGACAGTTTTTATCAAGCTTAAAGTTTTACAATATTGTATAGCCTTGCTTGCAGCTGTAGTGGTTGATTTCGATTGTCACTGACTATTACTGAATCTGGCCCTATTATGTCAAAGGCTGCGAAGAACGTTAATGCTCACAGGATAGTACCGGCACTGTATTTCATGAAGCGGTGTACTGGAAGGTATACGACTGTGGATAGACAAAACAAAATTCGCTTTATAACACAAAAACCAATTTTCGCTCCCTACTTCCCTTACTGATTGCACTTCATTTCAATCAGAGAGGACAGCCAAAAGACCTGATAACAACAAAAGGATTAAGTAAAATAGTCTTCATATCATTCAAAAGCAGCGGCAAAAGGCTATCTATTAATAGCACTGAGGAAGAGCTGTTCTATTCCTACGTCCAATTATTCTTGTTCAAAGATGCAAAGCCTAAATCCAACAACAAGGTTAAGTCCAAAAAAAGTCTTCTTAAGCCTGCTGATCGGAACTTTCTCGAAGTATTTCGCGAAATAATGTTTTTGCTCATTTTCTCGAAATCATCTAAATGTGACTTGACCTTGGTGTTGCTATCAGGTCTTCCATTGTATCAACTACACTTGAAGAACGTAGCGGAAACATGTCCGATCAGCAGACGACCAAAGGCTATGTTGCGGCACATCATATCAAACATACATATTAGGATACATAAGAAACACAATATTTAAATACACATATTTCATAGTATACATATTATTGTTGCCTGCCTTTGTCTGTTTCAGATCAAACAGAGTAGAACATTTATAATGAATCGTGAAGTTTTGCTTCTTTATTAAAGTACCCCACAACAGTACGCATTCAAACATGCAAAACGTGCATCTTCAATGAGATAATACACTTTTTCACAACGTCTAACGCCTGTTTCTGTTTCAAGATAAAGTACGTGGGGGGGGGGGGGGGGGGGGGGGGGGGATAAATAATAATCAAAGGTACTGCATACCTTTTAGTTAGAGGCAACAGAAAAGACGGCCCAAAAATATTTAAGCTATTTATTTCATTTTAAAAAATCTGGCATGTCGTCTCTCTATATTATTATATTACTCATCTTGCTTCGTTACCTTTTGGGCGGGAAGAAGATAAACACACACGATAAAAGAAAAAAAAAGCCCTACCAAAGTAAGCTGTGCAGGATTTTAAGAGGCGGCGCAAAAGATTAAATAATTAAATCTGTGAGATGAATAGGTCAGTGTCAATGGGCTACGAAAACTCTTGCCAGAATGTACCGTGCCGTTTGCGGAGATCACGGACGTACCTTGCAAATCGTCGGTGTCGTTCACAAACCGGCTACATGCAGAAAGGCAAAATTTACAGGAGATACGAACAACAACAACAACAACAACAACAACAACAACAACAACAACAACAACAACAACAACAACAACAACAACAACAACAACAACAACAACAACAACAACAGCAGAAGCAGCAGCAGCAGCAGCAGCAGCAGCAGCAGCAGCAGCAGCAACAGCAACAGCAACAACAGCAGCAGCAGCAGCAGCAGCAACAACAACAACAACAACAACAAATGATTGTTAAAGCGCGCAGCAAAATATTACATATTTATATACCAATTTTTAAGTTATAAGAGTTGGAACCAATTAAATACTGCTTGGTTTTTCTGAAACACAACCGCCGATAGTTTTATTACGCATGTAGCCGGTGATGGAATGACAATAAGTGTCCAGCACAGTCCGGGTGGCTGGTTCTCTGTTGATAGTCGCTTCACGTATGACATTTCCACGCCCAGCCGTGACACGAGACGTCATATCAATAAAAGCCAGTTAGGCGCAGCTGTGTGTCACTCTGTTCGCCATAATATTAAGTAGCCTGTAGATCGACATGGACGAAGGCGAGCTGTGGTATTTTTAAACTGATATCTAAATGGAATCTTTGAGCTGACTGGTTCGAACTGGGTTTGAAGTTTAACCAGGTCGATTCATACATAAAATTTTAATGCTGCCAAATTCAATGCTATGTTTGACACTTCGTCAGAAAGTTACGCATAAGGGCGAAAACATAGAGACCGCTGATTTCGGAGATTACAAGCGAGTAACAAACACAAAAAAAGGAATAAAGATAAGGACAATAGATGTTTGGTGATAGAAAAGGAGGAGCAAATCACACCAGAGCACCCTCCAACCACCCATATTCACTGAATAATAAAAGCTTTAAGTTTGAGAAAAGAGAAGCATAATATCTGCCCACGAACGGCCATATTGGAACAGGGAAGACGCAAGACAGAAACCTTAGAGAGAAAGAACTAAAGTAGAGCCTGCCAGTGGCGCCCTGCAACCACCTCATATTCACTGTCTTGTGACGTGTGACTGAGATTACTGAGAATGAGGGAGGAGTTTCGCAGAGAGCCAGTTGTCTAACTATGCAAGAAGTTCAGGGTTAGGAGTGTTAGGGTTATGGTTACGGTTATGGTTAGAGTTACAGTTAGGGTTAGGGTTAGGTGTCGTTGGTCGGCCGGCCTCTGCGGAACTCCATCCGAGAAGGCAGAAAGAGAGAGAGAGAGAGAGAGAGAAAGAGAGAGAGAAAGAGAGAGAGAAAGAGAGAGAAAGAGAGAGAAAGAGAGAGAGAGAGAGGGGGGGGGGAGAGGAAGAGAGAATAAATTCGTTTTCACTCTTAAAATGAGTTGCATTGTCATAAATAATTATGAAGTTTTCAACGAGGTCACATACATTTCTATAAAAGTAAGAACTCACAAGTCAGTTATGCACACAGCACAACTATTGTAACCTACTACTTCCGTACTGCAGTGCGCACCAACGTTTCTATCTGAAACTGAACACTCTTGGTTGTTTTAAAACAATCTGTAATCTGTTTTGTTCTCTCCATCAGCCGAAGACGAATTTAAGAGCTTTTCCTGTCTGGCCTCGTTTGATGTACAGAAAAACCCGTTTACTCTCCGCCTTATGTCCAAGGTTCATGAAGAAGGAGTCACCAGCGAACGCCAACAGACTTCCAAGTCCAGTCCTCACTTTCATTATTCTAACTCTTAGGGTAGATTATTCACATGACTTGCCTTTGGAGGTCGTGTGAGTTGACTTCAACCGATTGCAAATAGATTTAAAACAATGATTTTGGTTTTACTCAAGTTTTGACCTCTTGTGGCCCTCTTTTTTTCTTTTTTTTTTTTTACCTTTCAGGGCTTTCAAATCTGGCAGCGGCAAATAGACAGACACACGAGGCACACGCACATACACACACTGACAAACAACCACCCACATACACACAGTGAGATTGCGGGTTTGGGGGTTCGAGCCTCAGCTCGGTCCGACGTTGTGTCCTTGAGAAAGGCACTTTACACGAACTTCCCACTTGGCTCGGTCCTATCGTGGACGGACGTTAAACTAGGAGGTCTCTCCCCTTAAATAACCTAATGGTGTTGATAGGGGCTTTAAACCCATACCATTTTTACATGCCCACATAGAGCTAGAGTACTTGACTGTTATAGTAATATTATAGACTGGGCAACCCCAAATGGACAACTTGTCGACCTCATTACACAGAAACTAAGAGGCGAATTGCCTAGATTTTTCATGTGCC